CGCGCGCGCACACACACACACACACACACACACACACACACACACACACACACACACACACACACACACACACACACACACACACACACGCACGCACCCTCACAGCCTCTAACATACTCACAGCCTAGCTCGTACGTGCATATACTCTCTCACTGCTACAGCCACACGACTAGACACTCAATGCCTATAGCCAGCATACTCGCAGCTTCTGAATGTTCTCACACTTTCATCCTCGTGCGCTCACGGTTTAGCTCTCACACTCGCACAGTTGTCCAACCAGACGCCCACACACGCAGCCCGTAACACTCACATCCGCCCAACCACATATTCGCAAAGACTTCCTATTGTGGCTAGAGTAGTATGATAGAGTAGTGTGATCTCTGTTCTAGCATCACGCATAGAACGCTGCCTCAATATTGCCCACTATTATATCCAGCGCCTGTATTTGCTCTCCCCGCCTGAAATACAACTTCCAATATAGGCAGAGAGAGAGAAGGGGGAGAGAGCGAGCAAGATAAAGAGGGGAAGAGAAAGAGAGAGAGAGGGGGAGATGGAGAGGGCGAGAAAGAGAAGGAGAGAGCCAGACACAGAGGGAATAAGAGGGCGAGCGAGCGAGAGACAAGTAGAGACGGGGAACGATCAAGCACGAAAGATAAAGAGGGGGGTCGAGAGGGGAAAGAACTTCGTGATAGAACACCACTATTGCAAGTGTGCAATGATCCATGATTGTGCAGTCTATCATCTTAACTGCCACCGAACGCTCCAGTTCTCATATATAGCCTCTCCGGAAACCCCGTTCTTTGATTACCGTGTGATTGTGGTAAAAAGAATGGAGCCCCACTGCTCCAAAACAGGTAGCGTCAAGGCGGGGCGTATCGATTCGCGACGGCGACGCCTAGCGGTCGTCGCAGTAAACATGTAGGAAGACATAATATACGAGTCTCACTGTCTCACTCACCCCTGGTAATGTCTTCTGTTCGTGCAGTGCGCTCTGTGCGTTGATCGCTGCCTCACGGTTACAGTACGTTAAAAATGCACAACCTGGAACGACGAGCAAGCAGGTTACATTGAGTTAGCACAGTGACGCCTTATCCGGTAATTCTCTCTCTCTCTCTCTCTCTCTCTCTCTCTCTCTCTCTCTCTCTTCCCTATTATCTACTTCTAATAACACTGACGAGCAATCCATGCCTCCCCACCCCGCACCCCGTCAACACGGCTCGTCACGTGACCCAGTACATGACGTACGCAGTAGAGCGCGTTTTTATTGGACGCGTTAATGAATGCGCTCAACCTATGGCGTGTAGTTCCTAATTAAATGTCGATAGTTTTGCATTTCGGTGCCGTAGTGAGTTAATAAAGATAATCAAAAATAAGCGATAGTCGATAGGTTGACCTCGCTGGCGTGACGTCATCGCTCCTAACCTCCCAGCCAGCCGACATCGTTCACGTGAAGCCAATATGTGGGCCGAGATGATCTATAATCTAACACTGCGCAGATATAGACACGATATCTCACGTACGAGATTTAATCCTCAGCGTACATGCACGCGTACGTGATATTATTCCGGGCATGCATGCGCGTACGTGTACACGATTATTGGAAACGAATCTAGACTTGTACGTAAGACTTTGTCCCGTATGTACGCGTGTAAGATTTTGATTTCATATATGAATCGGCTTGTATCAGAACATTGTTCTATAATCTGCTACGCGAGTTAATGTGTAGATGCGAACGTGCTTCCCGGAGCAATGGCGTGCTGCTAACCACGATAGCGAGTTTTCAAGAATGCTTAGACTTTTGCGTTCTCTAACATTCACATTTATACACCTGATTGTACGGTGTGCGATAAGAAGTCCCCCTACCTTGGGTTACTCGAGTGTACGGTGTGTGAAAGGGTAGAGGTGTAAATCCGCCGCGAGCAATAATAATTGGTTTATTACTCACACATAGGACAGAGATAATTTTGCAGTAATAATTATGCATCTTTGCCAAAATTTTAGATTTTAAAAGCTCGATGCGTCTACAAACCAAAAATAATTTTATGTAAATTTACAAATGAATTATTAGATACACAGTGGTAACGATAATAATAATGGCAAAATGACTACAAAAGATCATATGTAAGCATCAATAGGATGTACATACATTTCTCTTTTTAATCAAAATTTAATGCCCCAGTTTATCGAACAAATATCCCAATCCATACTGCGGAACCTTGAATATTTTATTCTGGCAATGCACAGCTGTCGCCATTTTGTCAGTTCTATAATACGAAGCCCATCTTCGATATGTGTTTTTTTAATTTTAAATGCAGTTATAGATCATTCCTGGTATACGCCACGCGGTTTGCGTGTAAAGCATGCAGCACACTTCACCAGTTTCGTTGCTCGTACAGGCAATTTTTGTGGTCGCCACAAAAATGGCCAAGTGTGCGGGGGCCGGCAACGACCACTCACCACGGAAATTTAGTGGTGACCACAAGTTGCCGAGAATCAAACCGGTTTGATTTCTCACCACGAAAATTGCTCGTGGTAAGCACCACTATTGCAAGTGTGCAAATGACCAGTGATTGTGGGCAGTCCTATCATCTTAACTGCCACCGAACCTCCAGTTCTTATAATTAGCCTCTACGGAAACCCCGTTCTTTGATTACCTTGTGTGAATTGTGGAAATGAAGAATGGAGCCCCACTGCTGCAAAAAGGTAGCGTCAGGGGCGTATCGATTCAGCGCGAGCGACGCCTAGCGGTCGTCGCAGTAAAACAATGTAGGTGAGAATAATATACCGAGTCTCACTCACTCCTGGAAATGTCTTCTGTTCGTACGCAGTGCGCTCTGTGCGTTGATCGCTGCTTCACGGTTACAGTACGTTAAAAATGCAGCAAACCTGGAACGACGAGCAAGCAGGATTTACATTGAGTTAGGCACAGTGACGCCTTATCCGGTAATTCTCTCCTCCTTCCTCATCTCTCTCTTCTCTCCTCTCTCTACTCTCTCTCTCTCATCTCTCCTCGGCGCTGCGGCGAGCCGCAGCTTTCTCCTCGTCTCTCTCTCCTCCCTCTCTTGTCTCAATTCTTTCTCTCTCTCTCTCGCTCTCTCTCTCCTCTCTCGCTCCTGTCGCTTCTGTCTCTCTCGTCTCTCTCATCTCTCGTCTCTCTCGCTGCATTTCGGCTGTAACTAGCGCGCTAGGACGCACGGTACGCGCACTGCTCTTCTTGGGCAAACACGGTGGAGGGATACGTTTGAGGTTGCGTGGCTGCGTGCTCGAGCGGCGTCTCCTGGGAGCCGATACCGGAACCGGCGGACTAAATGCAGTTATCGTACATGCATTATAATTTTCACAAAGCTAAGGCAGTGGCGCGCCGACTCAATTCTAATCCCGCCGATACCGAGCACTGTGTTTTACACGATGCCGCGCGACCCGAGATCCATAGATCGCTTCCACACACGAAAAAAAAAAAAACCACTGCACAAATAATGTCACGACAATCACATGTAGCTAGTTACGACGCGGACACATGAGCGACACACGCGCGCACACACATACACACGCTCGCATTCTCCCGCCTCATCATTCATGGCCACCCCATCCATCCATCATCCATCATTCCATCATGACCATCCATACCATACCATGCCATCCATCCCCCATCCATCCATCATACCATCCCCGAATTCCCCATTTTCCATCCATTCATCCCTTCCAGTCCTTCCATCCATCCATGACCTAATCGCATCCATCCATCCATCCATTCCATCCATCCATTCCATCCATCCATCCATCCATCCATCCATCCATCCATCCATCCATCCATCGACAAAATTATAAACGTAAACGCATACGTGTATGCGTATATAGATAATACGTATACACGCGCGCCAACAATAACGTACACCACGCACGCACGCGACGCAACGCACGCACCGCACGCACGCAGCACACACGCTTCGCACGGCACACACAACACACACG